AGAAAGTAATTCAGTCTTGCTACTTACATGTGATACTTTAGATTGGACAGTAAAATAGCTGTGTAACTTAAAGTTCCAGTTTATTAACAGCGCTCCCTGGTCAGCAGACAGTAACCATTCAGGTTTTCTCATATTCAGGACTAACCCTAATTGCTAAAAGTTTAAATTGTCAGAATTATCAGTAGGGTAACTTAGGGTGACTTTCCATCTCAACTTTGACATCACTGAGTTGTTTGTACTGCTGATTTATGAGGTGTCAACAACTGAAGCATTAGCTTGCGTAGCATACTTGGGTTTTCTTTTTAAGAGACTGAGAAATGGAATACTTTGGATTTCGATGTGCAGTTCATCTCCTGCCTGAGATGTGAGGACCTAGGGCTATCATCATGGGATGAGTTTGTTGTTGGACCTCCATCAAACCACCAATTTTCAGACAGAGTGTTGCTTCCATTGGAAAGTACTTTTGACAGTTTTATTTAGTTTATGAGCAGATGTCTGTGTGCCCTGCTGTCTGCTGTTGTCAAAAGTCTTGGGCTTTTCCTGAAAGTCTTGTTTAAAGCAGAAGCAAACTCGAAACTATCCTGAAGCCCAGTAAAGAGCAGCTCTGCCTCTCCCAGCAGTTCTGTTTGCCCATTTCAGGTGTTCTGTACAAGGCTGTCCTCTGTAGACATCACCAGACATGCATCTTGGCCTGAAGACCCTGGGGATTTCCCACTAGCAGTGAAGCCATGGCTTTAACTCCCCGGTGGGCCTGTTGGGAAAACTCTTGCTACTTGGAAACAACCAAACATCCAATGAAATTTCATATCAGATACTTAATTTACACTTGTGGGATGAAGGTATTTGACCTTTGATGGAAGCTGCGAGCATGTTTCCGCTCTCCTCTGCCTTCTCTTCGTTTATCTCCTATTGTAAAACCACCCAAGAAAATCTGTTAGGTTTTAATGAAAAGTACAAAATGTAACTTGAAATGTTTAAGATATGGCTGGCCAGAAATGCATACCTTGAGACTGCACTGAGTAATCCCCACTCCAGAATTAAATGGTCAGGACTAGTTTGTGGGCTCTCATTTCTTTCAGGGCCAGGCAAGAGAAAGGTCCTGTACCTGAGGCATGCCGGGGTGGAGGGGACAGTAGAGAGAGGGAGAGGGAGGGAAGACTAAAAAGATAAATGTGGAGTTTTCTCCCACAGAATAACAGTATAGTAGCTGAGTGTCAGCCACCAGTACGACAGAATGGGAGGGCTGCACGTTGCAGTGGCTCCGACAGTGACCTTGAGCACACCAGCTGTTTCCTCTACATCCCTGATGTCACCTCCAGCCCTGATGACATCTGTAAAAGCTTAATGCATATTTATGCTTCTGTTAAACAAATGGCTTTGTCATTCACAGTAACTTTTTTGTTTGTTGGGTTTTTTGTTTGTTTTTGTTTTTCAAGACAGGGTTTCTCTGTATTGTTTTGGAGGCTGTCCTGGAACTCACTCTGTAAACCAGGCTGGCCTCGAACTCACAGAGATCCATCTGCCTCTGCCTCCCGAGTGCTGGCATTAAAGGTGTGTGCCACCAATGCCTGGCCTGTGTTATATACATTTTTATATGTTGAAAATGACAACTTGTCACAGAGGAAAGACTCTCTGAGACCTAGTGTCCTCTCCTTTAGAAGGCACCGCATCTGTAAAACACCCTGTTCCAAGTGAGACAGAATTGTATCGCTGGAACAAGGAATATTTAGGTGCCTTCTTAATTTAGTTTACAATGGAACAGTAGTCCTTAGCAATGCCAGATAATGGCTCTCCAGCACCACAGGCCTGCTCTTCACAAATTTTATACACTGAAAACATAAAAATATGTTAAAAGAGAATTTTTCTTCTTTCCTTAAATTCAATTCATTGTTATAATTTAACATTAACTAACTACTGTCCCTAGTAAAGGAAGGACAAAACGTCCACAGGGAGAGTCTTCATGCAAAGGTTTTAAAGTTGGAGTGGCTGCATGATGGTTTGCCACGCAGATCTTAGGGTGATCAAGCCCCCGATGGGGTGGCTGTTTGCTTTTCATGATGGTTTGCCATGCAGATCTTAGGGTGACCAAGCCTTCCACGTCCCGCGTCTTACTCCTGTGCACCTACTCACATGCAGATAAATAACTTGAACTAATAAAAATATGTCTTCTTTCAAAAGAGAAGACTGAAGTAGAATTGGACTCCACAGATGTTCCTGGGTGCAGCTGTCTTCAGAAATGTGAGTCTGTGTCCATGCTGACTCTTCAGAACAGTATCACATGCTTGTATAGTTCAGAGAGATTTTAGATTCCTTGTGCAAACATCTTATGCCTGCAGTGATTTAACTGCTAATCATAAAACAAATGCGTAATTAATGCCCAATTTTAAAGTTAACATGGAAACTATATACTACGATGAGCCGTATGCAAATGTAACCACTAGCATAGTGTAAGAGCTAGGTCCACCGCGTGGTCAGGAGACTGAGGCAGGAGCATCTTCAGCTTGGAGCTGGCCTGAGGTGTATAAGGCCAGCCTGGGACCATACAGAAAGACTCTTCCTTTTAAAAAAATAAAAAGTAACAAAGCCAGGAAGGTCATTTGTGCTGCCCAGGGCTTCACACTGGCCAGTGCTGCACACAGCAGGGCGACGTGTTCGGCTTGAGCTGAGCGTCCTCCCACAACACCGTTCCTCCCAGTGTATATTTGGAACTTTCTCTTGTGACTCACTCTCGGTATCCTCGGAACCTTTTTTTGGCTGAGAGTGGATTTGACTTAGGGAAGCAGGAGTCTCGCAGGGCCAGGTACGATGGGTAAAGCAGAGAATCGTGAGAAATGCTATCTCAGCCTACTATTTTGGGTAAGTCAGTAATAAGGGTGTTCTCTAGCTTTGACTCTTGAAACAACTAGAGAGTTACTGTCTTTAGGAAAAAAAAAGAGCTTTTATCATCTTCAAGCTAAGCCTTCATGCTCTCATTTAATGTTTCTGCTCCAGAACATTGGCTTCGAGTTCAAACCTGCTCTGCTTGGTTCTCGGGTACCCACACCTGCCTTTCCACACTCTCTGAGCCCACCACAGCCCTGTTCTCCTGCACCCGCCACAGCCCTGTTCTGCAGAGCATAAGATGTTTGCACAAGGAATCTAAAATCTCTCTGAACTATTATACAAGCACGTGATACTGTTCTGAAGAGCCAGCATGGACACGGACTCACATTTCTGAGTTCAGTGAGACAGGGCCTCCTCTCCCCGGGGTTCACTACTGAGATGCTTTCCCTATCAAGGACCCGTGTGGCCCCTACTCCTGTGGGAGTCTATTCCCTGCCTGCCTTGGAGTTCCTGGTGGGACTCCTTCCTTTCTGGGTCAGATCTGTTCTGAAAGCAGTAGATGCTTTCCACGGGGAACACATGGGAATCCCCTGGGGACTGCTCAGTCTCCTCACTGTAATCTTTGTCACTCAGTGATGCTGTGCTGCCTGGATCCATCAGCCCGTCCCTGCTCATCTCCCTCCTCATCTCTGGGCTTCCTACGGACAGTGAAACAGCTCTTTCCTTTCTTCCCCACCAAGGTGTGGGACTCATGGTCTTTCTTCTTTGTTAGTGTAATAAGGAGAACATACTTCTAGAGGTTTTATATTATTTGGGAGTTGGGAAGCACATGCATGCCGCAGAACTTATGTGGGGATCAGAGGACTCCAAAAGATTTGGTTTTCTCCTTTCACCATGTGGGTTCCAGAAT